GGGGATGTCAAACCAAAAAATTAAGCTAATATTTGTATAATTATGTATGCAATTCTCTTAATAAAGGATCTTGGCAAAGCTGCCAAAGAGTTAAAAAAAAAATTTAATCTATTAAATACATTAGTATCTAATACAGGTTTGTACAACTAATCGAAGGCCTTGTTATATAATTTACCAGACTGTCTAGTATTTAATTGTCAGGTGGCTTAACAGCATATATTGTAAAGTTCATGAGATGATTTTTTATTAGTAAAATGTTATGTTCCCAAAAAGTACTTTAAAGTATATTAGAGTTGTAACCCAGAACTCAAAACTCAAAACCTTTTCTAAAACTCTAATACTATACTGAAAGGCTTAGAAATTTAATTTTAGACTTTAAAATATAAAGTATATAATTATGAGATTGTATTTCAAAAATGTTTGAGTTACTTTATAGTAAATATATATTGGTTATTGTCAAAATAATGCTAAAATCTGGTGCCTTAATTTCAAAATATAAACTCTGCTAATACTTTTTTATTATTAATACCAACTCTAAATTCTAGCCTAATTATAAAAAAAAAACTAAACAAAACATCTCAAAAAAATTTTAAAATTTTATAATAAATAAATTTTAATATCATCTTTAACAGTTATTAACATTTTAATCTAAAGGTTTCAGAAAGTTTTTAGGTTTTAAGTTACAAATCTAAAGTATATCTAGACATACTGTTGTTAAGTAAAACTATTTTTAATAAATAATAAAAGTCAAAACTAAACCTAATAAGAGTCTAGTAAAATGTCAAAACATTGAAACTCTAACAAAACTCTAATAAAGCTAAAATCTTTAAAGAACATCAAAAACAATGAAGATTAAATTCTTTAAGATTTTGGAATGATTGAATTATATTATTAAATTAAAATATTTTATGTATACTTATTAAACATAGCATGTAGTTTATATAAAAATATACAAACAATATACAAAATAATAATTTTTTATTTGTATTTGAGTACTATTAAAAAAAAAACTATACTTTAGGCTTTAATCTTTTGATATTATAACAATTCAATTTAGTTTTGAAAATTCAAAATCTAAAATATTGTTTCTTTTTAGTAACACTTATCTATAAATTAATATCATTTATACAATATGAGATATTTTATAAAATGCAAAGTATGATGACTTAGTGAAGTAGTTAGATTGTTAACCTTCAAGTGGCAGGTCTAGAATTCAAATTTCAGTATGAATGAAAATTTGAAATTCTTTTTGTATTATAGTTAACTGTTTTCTACTATTAGTTAGGATCAGATACCTATTATTTATATTATACTAGCATGATTGAAAGGTTATATGACATTTGTGCAACAGTTGTATTTTGTATAAAGAAATACAAACTGGTACCAGATGATGTGAACCTATGATAAGTTCCTATAACTGTGTAAATTATAGAAACCAGAAAGATGAAAACCCACTTAGAAGATCTGAGTAAAAAGATAGCCTGAACTTTCAACAATACTACTATAAAGATTAGATTTATGAAACAAAACTAAAACTTATGAAGTTAGATAAAGACAAATCAGTCTTTAAGAAGAAGTTGTTATAACTAGTCAGGTCATTGGAATCTATTCTGAAGAAAAATATTATATGCTAAAAAATTATATAAATCAGAAATATAGTTGTATCTACTTTTTCAAACTATCTGGACTAAAAGCTTAGTAAAACTTGAATTAAATACTAAAGTAGTAAAGATATATTATAAAGTAAATACTAAAATTGGATAAATTCTACAAAAGCATAGCAATTTAATAGTATGTTCTAATTTCAAGTATTAGTTTCAATTATAGAATAATCAAATTAGCTGTAAAAATAAAATACAAAAGATTCTAAAAGATTTAGTACAAGATCAAAGGTTTTTTATATGAGTAAACTGCTTTAAAGACTTAGTGACTATGATATATTTGTATTAGTATTGATTAGGTCATATTAATAGGTATAGGTAGGTGGGTGAATATAAGAACTTGAATGTTTAAACAAAAAACCTATAAGCAGGTTTTAGGTATAATAGCTAGTATAGAATCTTTGAGTAAACTACTTAAATTAGACAATAACTAAAGTTATATAAATGGCTAGTTGTATATTTTTTTCATAATTACCTTTTATAGTTGTAATGCAATTATTAGCTGAATGTACTATCAATAAAATCCTAGATTACAAGTATTCACCTTAAGATTTAAAAAAAAAAAGTTTTATAAAATTATCAAATTTGAAATATTATAAATAAATTTATGAAACAATTATTTGTTATAAGATTATGTTATTTATTTATAATATTAGTATTTAGTAAATAATTAGTAGTAAAAAAGTTAATTGAATGATTGATTAAATAATAAGATTATTGTCAGTAATAAGTAAGAGTAGTTAGTTTAATTAAATAAAGTGTAATAGTATAAAGTTATAAAAAATAATTATATAAATAAAATATAATAAAAAGTAGTTCTTTTTCTTTTGTTTTTGTTGCTAACTTAATACAAGTCTAGTTTGTTAGTGAATTTTACCTACTACTAAGATAAGAGAAGAGAAGTTTAAAGAAGCAAATAAAAATAATAATCTGAATAAAAGCTCAAATATCGAAATAATAATAAAACAATTTGAGATAAACAGAAAGAATGTAATAATGCAAATAAATAGATTAAGTAAGCAGCTCAAAAAAAAAATATACAATTATAGAAGAAAAGAAAAAAAGAAAGTATAATGCTTAGGTTTTTTCTAACCTATTTTAGTTTAAACCTAATTTAAAATAATTAATAGATAGCATTTATAAGAAATAGGAGATGCAATGTCATATTGAATGTTAAAAATTGTAGCACAAATATAGTTAGAAATCTTTAATCTTGGGACTTTTGTTTCTAAATATGTAATAAAGTTTCTATCTAACACTATTAAAATAATAAAAAAAGAAGTACAATGCTACAGAATTAGCTGTTAACTATATAAGCAGTAGGGCAAAATTCTATAATGTATATTTTATAGTGTTTGTAATTAAATAACATTAAAATTATATAATATAATATAACCAATTGTAATTAGTCAAAAATAACATATAGGTACTTCCATATAAAATTGGGATTTAGAGATATACTAATAAAAATCGAGATTTTTATTAAATTGTATTTGCAAGTATGTGATTTATTTGTATAAAAATTTTAATATATGTTGACATATTATAATTCAGTATAGTTCTATACACAGTAATTTTTGCATATGATGATTTTCTGTTCTAATTTTAGATTACTGCATTCTGTTGCATTATCACATGTACATTATGGTCTGATCTTTTTTTCTTTAATGTTAATTGTTGTATTATAAAAAATTATTCAAATGGTAAGATAGTTTTAGAATTCCAGAATTCTGAATATTAAATTACTATAAACATTATATTACAGTGTACTTGAGATGAAGAATGCAAAAAAAATAGTTGATTAGAAGAGAATTAAAAGAGAACACAAAAAAAAATTGTATTGTATATACAGTATTAAGCTTCTTTTTGCATTTGGGTTTCAGTAAAGTTTTGTAAGATCATTATTTAATATTAATTTTATACTTTTGAGTTGCTTATTAATTAGCTTTTCTTTTTATTTTGATTAGTGATCATATTATACTTTAAACAAATAAAAGAAGGTTATTTTAGATTACTTTTTAGTATGAATAAAATTATAATTTCAAGTTGGATTGATCAGAAATATAATGGTTATAATATATGTTCTATAGACTTTAGAAGTTTGAGCTTTTGAACTTTATTATATAAAAGTAGAGATAGTTTTGATATATATTAATATATTTTATAAATTGTGTAATTTTCAAGAGTTAATTTTTATAATATTTAAGAATAAAGAAACTAATAAACTAATAAATAGCTATTTATATACTAGTAATAGTATAATAATCTAATTAATTTGAATCTGAATTTTTATTATTTTCATTTGGAGCAAAACACAACTTATCTTTATATGAATCATATACATATGGATGAATATCTTTAAACAATAGTATCTGATGTTTTAAAGATATAGGTTTTAAAAAAATTGTGTTTAAAGATTTAAGTGAATCAAAAGAAAGGTTATTATAAATTATAGCTTTTTTTTTTAACCCATTAGGTTCTAATGTCATAAAAACTTTTCCAGTTTGGTCATAATAAAAATAAAAATATCAATAGATCTGTATATCATTATATTTAATAAAGTATGATTTAAAATATGTTTCAAAATCATAGTAGTTTCATTCTATCTTATTTTTTTTATTATATTTAACTGCTATATTACTTTCATTTTTTTTTGACTGATTAATAATAGTTTTAACATGATCAATACTTATAATAGTAGATTTATAGTAAAGTAATTTAATCATTTCAAAATGCATATCATATATAAACTTAGTATGATTAGGAACCATAAAGTTAACTTCAACTATATCAAAATGCTTAGTCATAATAAGCCATGAATAAAACCATAAAGCAAAATTGTTTTTGTTTTGATCTTTACAATTATCACAAGTAACTTTAAGGTTTTTGTGTAGCAAATTCCAATTAAATAAACTATCATATATAAGATTAAGTATTGTATTAGCACCTTTAGATGTATTTATTAGTAATTGATGTTCACTAATTAAATAGTTTCATTGTGTTGTAGGTTCCAAACTAGTATTAGCAATTTTAAAAAAATGAACATTAAATGGAAATTTAAAAAATAAACCTTCTGGTTGTTATAATAAATAGAGAATTAGTATATTTTGAGCCCAGTCATAACAAATATACATAGTATTAAATCTTATTTGTTTACTAATTTCAATATTTTCATTATATACTGACACTTAATTATTGTAGCTATGCAATGAAAATTATATTCTGCTTGGTATTTTTGTTTATTATCAACATTGTCTATAATATAAATATTAGCATGAAGTTGTTCACATTTATTACACAAATCAGAAGCTTTAAACATAAATCTAATATCAGGTATGATTTTATTCCAAATTTGATAAAATGTAGAAAAACCATAGCCTTATAATCTTTACCTTTAATAAATTTAACCGTATTTATATATTCTTAATATATGTTATTATAAGTTGTATCTATTGGAAGTGAAATAATAAGTATAGTACTTTTTTGCATATGTTGACCTGGTGATAGATATCTGTAAATAATTGCATAATTATGAAGAAAATTATTAAGTTCTTGTTTTGTTTGATCATCAATAAAAGCATGATCAGATCTAATAGAATACATCCTGAATTGTTCTGAGTTATCTTTGTCATTCCATTACTTCTAATGTGTGCTTTAATATGATCAAGTTATGAAGAAGAAATTCTGATTAATATTAAATAAACAGGTAAGCATACAATATAATGTGCATTATAACAATATTGATATTTTATATGATTATTTAACTCTTGAGAATTATTCTATTCAGATGATTCATTATAAGCAATGATACAAGTTGTTCTTGAATCCAAGTATCTAAGCAATTATAAGACATATTATAACATTCTTCTTGTTATTTAAAGAATTGATAAAACCTTATCTTTTTAAAACAAGATTTATTTTTTTTTTACTTTTTCTACAGATATATTTATTTTTTTGTCAAAACTTCCATAATTCCTGAACATGCTGATGGATAAGTTCATTAGTTTCATCATATTTATTTAAATTAAGTTCAGCAAAAGAAGGAGCAAGATTATATAGTTCATCTTGTTCTAGAGTTAAGTTTTCATAAGAATTTGTATCCGAATTTTCAAAATTCATCATGTTAATAAAGTAAAAAAAAATTTAAATAAATTATTTACAATTTGATATAATTTATAAATTTTATTAATTGAAATGAATTTTATAAAAGTTTAATCTTAAAATTTTTACAATTATTGACATTTTATTGCCATTAATACTAAATTATCAAAAAATTTAATTTTTAAATTTTTGAATTTTAGTTCAAATGTACACTATCACTACTTGCTATTACTAATAACAAATCAACAATATACAAATTATTCTAAACTTTTATAATTAGAAAACACTAAGATGTGTATAGCGTTAAATTGTTAGGAAATTTAAAATCTCTAATTTTTGAACTTAATTCACTAACATTTAATTATTATTAGCATTAAAATTTTTAGATCCACTATCATGCTATTACTAAAACCATTAATTAATGATTGATTTGTTATGTACATGAGATATGTTACACATTACACACATAAATATCTAAATTTATCACAATTACCAAACTTGCATCAAAATGATTAATTATTGATATCTCCAAATTAAAAATTTGTCTCTAAGCCTCGATTTTATGTAGAAGGACCCATATAGGTTTCTTTTTTTATATATATTAAAAATCAGATTTTAATTCTCAGTAAACTTTAAATTGATAACTTCTTCAAATTTAAGAAAGTAAAAATCTTTTCTAGCAAAATTGTAGCTTAGACTTAAAACTACAAATTAACCATAAATTTTTTTTTGTTTTTAAGCTATATCAATTTTTGTAAAATACATATAAAAAGATGTTGGTTTATGATGTCCACACTGTATAAAATAAACTTATTTAAATACGCATTTAAATAGATTTATTGTTATATTAAGATTTTTTAAAACTTTAAATCAAATACTATACATATGTAAGTAATTTGTTAACATTATTAGTATCGCCAATTATTTCCCGATGTTCAATTTTATCTGATCAAATCTCAGGACCAATTTCAAAGAAATAATTGTTGTATTATTGACTTATAATAGATAAAATTTAAATTAAATGATCAAAAAGCAACATGTGCCATTTATATGATACACGAAAATTTTTCGCGTACAGTACGTACAGTGCGTATCTAGCGAGTTGATTGGCTGGTAGAAAGGATCGGCAAAAATTTTCGCGTACAGTACGTGTAGTACTGTACGCGGCATATCACTAATCATATACGACAGTACGATCGTGCACGTATATATGATTACTTTCTATTCTCGACTTTTTAACTATTTTTCTCATCCTTTACTAATTTCTTTACCTTTTAGCAGTTTCACCATTTCGCCATTTTAATTTTAATTTTTTTGGCAAAAGTCGAAACTAGCTTAGACTTTCGCCTGTGGCGAAACCTTTAGGCTTCGCCTAACAACATTACCCGAGCAACTGAATGTCCTTCTATGATCACTCGGGTCATTCGAGTACCAGATGACCCGAGTGGACCCGAGTTTACCTGTCGGATCACCCGATTGTGATTTTTCAGATGAATGTCCTGTTTTAAGTTTAAACTTGTAAGAAAGAAAATAAATTTATTACTGCACTTATCATAGCTTGGTGTTTGAGGGCAAAAAAAAATATATTCCGTTAGTAAAAGAGTAGATCGTGAAACATAAATCAAGGAGTGTTTTACATTAGGATAATGGAAACCATTAGCAGTCCGAAGGACTATATACTGTATTAATATTGTTGATTGTTAATGCATAAATACGTAAGCCACTATTTATTGATTACTGGATCAACAATCTAATTTTTTACATGTCACTTTGATCTACATTAAGACAACCAATTATATTGGAGAATTTGCTAACAGAGACATTTGTGTAACCCATTCACTCAACTTCGGACAATTAACGTTTTATACGTATGATATATGAATTACCAACCTCGGCCAATCTTCCGCTTTTAACCTGAATCTCCATTTTTGCATTAACCGAATTTGAAATAAAGATTTATTATTTAACGTTATATGATATTGGATCGAAAATTTTATATGTTGAACTAATCAACACAATATGATTGAATACAGAATTTATCATGCAGAAAAATTTATATAAGAGCTTTTTATGACAAAGGAATCCCTGGAATTATCTCTGAAATATGGAATCGAAATCTGAATTAATTACTCTTCCAAATGTAAAAACTATTAAAAGTATTGAAAAATATCAATTCTCGAAGAATATTGCTATTTATCGCCAGTGGTGATATCGCCGGTGATACTATATCTCAAAAATCTACTAGCTAACACATGTCGAAGGTACTATGTAAAAATGTTCAGGACCCCCAAAAACTTAACAATAACGAAGATTTGGACCTTTATACCTAACCCTAACCTTGGTCTAAAATTGCACCCTATCTCTAAATTTGATAAAAGAAATAAGAGGTGGTGGTATCTCCACCGGCGATAAATGCTAAAATTGTTCTCGAAACCTAGTGTTAACCCATGTGAAAATGTTGCAATACTAATTATTATATATATATAATATATAATATATAATATATATTATAAGCCCTTTATACATATGATGCTTAAATGAAAATGAATATTTATCAACTAATTTTTTTTTCAAACAGTTGAAACGGGTCTTTTTATCAACAACGCTTTTGTTGAATCCGTTGATAAAAAATGTTTCGAAACTATCAACCCATCGACCGGTAAAGTAATTGCAACTGTATCAGAAGCTTCTTCAAAAGATGTTGATTTGACGGTCGAAGCTGCTACCAATGCTTTTTATAATGTTTGGAGATTTGTTGATGGGAAAGAACGTGGTAGATTGTTAAACAAACTTGCAGATTTGATAGAACGAGATACTGAGGAATTAGCGGCTTTGGAGACACTTGATAATGGACAAACCCTTTCTACTGCGAAATTTATTGACATTGGACATAGTATTGATTGTTATAGATATTTTGCCGGATGGACTGATAAGATTCACGGAAAAGTAATTATTATTTTATTTTATTTTATTTTATCTATTATTATTGTCATGAAATTAATAATGATCATAGGTTATCGAGACGGACCCCAGTAAATTTTCTTATACTCGTCACGAACCACTTGGTGTTTGTGCCGCAATAATTCCATGGAATTTCCCTATATTGATGCAAGCCTGGAAAATGGCACCTGCTTTAGCGTGTGGTAATTTCATGCATTTTATTTTGAAAATTGTTTTTTCCTTTTATGTATTTAGAAATTACCATAATTTCTTTATGTTGATATTAATAGGTAATACTGTAATTCTAAAACCATCCGAAATGACACCGTTGGGTGCTCTTAAAGTTGCTGCGCTATGCAAAGAAGCAGGATTCCCAGAAGGAGTTGTTAATGTTTTGAACGGCTATGGTCCTATAACTGGTGCAGCAATCGCTAAGCATATGAAAATTGATAAAATCTCATTTACTGGTAATTTTGTAAATTTTATTTTCAGTTCTTTTGTTAACATATTTTTTACAATAATTAAACAAATTGTGGTTGTCAAGCTAACAAATCTGTTTATAATATCCTAAAGGATCTAATGCAACGGGAAGATTTCTATTAAAAGCAGCTAGTGAAAGTAACTTGAAAAATGTATCACTCGAATTGGGTGGAAAGTCTCCAAACATAATTTTCGCAGATGCAGACCTTGACCAAGCTGTTAAATGGGCTCATATGGGAATATTTTTCAATCACGGACAATGTTGTAGTGCTGGATCTCGTGTTTATGTCCAAGACAGTGTTTATGATGAATTTTTAACAAAATTTAAAGCTATGACAGAATCTAATAAGATTGGAGACCCCTTCGCAGCGGATACTTTCCAAGGACCACAGATTTCTCAGGTGCAACTTGATAGGTACGTACAGTATCAATACCTGAGATGTGCCGTTGCGTGATATACTGATGTCATCTTTGCACGATTAAATCACATTACGTGATATCACGCGCAAGATAGGAAAAACTATTATCCGCTCAAGTCTTGCGCGAGGCACATCTCTCTAATCAATATAGTAACGACACAACATTAGTATAAAATTTAAACGCTATTCGGTATTATTTAAGGGATGATTTTAACTTTAAACGAGTATATTTCGACGACCACCAGTTAAATCTTTATCTCGATAAGTACCTATCGCTAACCAAATTCGATAAAATAAAGTTTTTTCTTATCGAATTTGGTTATCGATATCTTAAAATTTTTTTGAGTGAAGATATTTAGACAAATACCTAATAAGACATTTTTATAGAATTTGGGTGGACGTCGAGGTATATTTAGTTTTACGTAAAAAACTTTTGTATATAAATAACAAAATTGAGTTTATATGTTTCATTATAATTATTATAGTGGTATTCTTAATAGCTAAAATTATAGTTAAAGGAGGTTTCTTTGCTCCGAATATTCTTGCTTAGGTATTAAAAGTTATTATTATTTTTTTATTGAATTTGTAATAGAATTATGAATTATATTGAATGTGGGAAGAAAGAAGGGGCTACGTTACTTATAGGTGGTGAGAGGCATGGTAACGAAGGATACTTTATTAAACCAACCATTTTTACAGACACTGTGAGTACCAACATTCATAATTATATTTCAATCTTAAATTAATCATTATCATTATTAATGTTACAAAATGCAGAATGAAAATATGACCATAATGCAAGATGAAATTTTCGGTCCGGTAGTAGCAATTTCCAAGTTTTCTACCATGGAAGAAGTTATTGAAAAGCACATTTAACAAAATACGGATTAGCAGCTGCTGTATTTACCAAGGATATCACTAGAGCTGTTAAATTATCCAATGAATTAAGAGCTGGAACCGTCTGGGGTATGTTGGTTTTAATATTTTAGCAAGTAAAAAAATTTTTTTAATAGCAATAGTTTATTATAATGACTAAATATTTTTTTTCACAAAAATTTTCAGTTAATTGTTATAATCTTGTTAATTCAAGATTGTGAGTATGAGTTTTTATTATATTAAATAATTGTTTTGTGTCTAACCATAATACATATAACGTTTCTTATTCCCTATTTTCTGTTTCGTGATAGACCTTTTGGAGGATATAAAGAATCTGGTATGGGACGGGATCTTTCAAAATATGCTTTAGACCAGTATACCCAAGTCAAGACTGTTCAAATTAATTTGGATAGTCATTAAACAGTTCTTTGTTTTTTTGATACGTTCTATCAGAGATCATAAATACGCCTATGTTCATTTACTATTTGTATTATAAAATTTTGCTAGTAAAATTTAAGGTTAGAAGTTAGAATTAAGGAGACGCACTGAATATTTTACTTAAGACACAAGCATTGATTACTCGAACAGTTTTTAAGATGGGACCAATATCCGCATGCCCACAGTGTATTTTAGTAAACTCATATTTAACAAAAGTTCAATTCGAATCGTGAGAGAAAAGGTTAAAATCGGTTAAAAGGGTTTGAAGAATAATTAAGTTCAAATCAACAATAAACAGTATTTCTATTAAATTGAATTAGAATCCTAATTTTGGAATAGACGCAAATATGCCTTTCTTTTTAATAAATAATTCATGGTTAGGTCCGACAATATATAAAGATAATATAGTTCACCCTCTCACACTTGCTGTAACGGACCCCTTTAAAGCGGATCTCTCGCAATAGAAGAATGGTTCATTATAATATTTTATAATGTTATTGCAGATATTCATTATGATGGACGAAAGTGAACGTACTTTGGACATCCTAAAGTTACACCTGACTAAAGCTAAGCGTGAGCCCCTAAAATTAGATCTTCTTGCATGCATTGAGATAGTAATTTTAAGCGCGAGATGTGCGTACGTATATCAACTTTTTAATCTATGTTCAAAAACTAACGCTAAAAATATAAAGTAGCGATAATATTAACATTACAGTGTTAAATATCGTAGATCGAATGATAAAAAAAAGATTGTGTTAAAACTTTAAAAAAAGATGCATAATAAAATTAAATATACACTAATTGTAACTATATAAATAACTATCACTATTTAACGAATCTTAAAATCGTGATATTTTAGAGAACTAGATCATTGGTGCAGAAATATTTACGTTACTGATATTGTGAAGACGTGTTCGACACATCTTTACTATGGGATATACCCAGTGACGAAAATATTTCTGCATCTATAAACTAGACAATCAAATAATTTAAATGAAAAAAAGCATATTGCTGAAGTTTAGAATTGGCATAGTCGATAAATTTAGGCTGACTACAAACACTGGCTATGTAATAAATTTTAAAATAACACATTAATTTTGTTATTATTCCCATACAGTATAAGCATATCGACATTATTACAGTAAATATGCATGGATATTTTTAAATTTGATAAGTTAAAAATATATATATACATTTAAATTTTCGATATTCTTGATATACGTTTCAAGAATTTACTAAATAATAATGAATTAGTCATAACAAGAGAATTTGATAAGTTAAAAATATATCTATACATTTAAAAATTACTCGATATTCTTGATATAGTGAATTCATTTAGATTATTAATAAAGTTTTAAAAAAATTTGTTGTTTCAAGAGTTTACTAAAGAATAATGAATTCACCATAACAAGAGAATTTTATTTAATATAGATTGAATTCATCTCGAGAGCTCAAATAGGAACTACGAATTAGATAAATCCGGAATATCAAAACTTTAAACTAAAACTTTACTATTAATAATATTTACGAAATGAAATACGTACGTATACATATATAAAATATGTAATGCGAATTCATTTTCGAAATCTTATTAACTGCATTTACGTAATACCCATATTAAAAAAAAAAATAATAATAAATAAATAAACAAAACCAAATTTGAAATTAATTTGTACTAGAAACTCACTTATTGATGTATAGAGTCACACAAATAGTAACCAATTACGAACATGAAATTTAAATATTTAGAAATTTTCTTTTTTTCACAAGATAAATTTATATTACGTTGTAATAAAAGTTTATAAAAATAAAATTGAATTAATATATATTAATAAATACAATATTATCTTAGAAGACATTTCATACTATATGTTCAAATTGCTCAGCCAAGAATCCTTCCAGGCTGTACTACTATTAAAGTTCCAAACTTAAACGCTTTTGCGCGTGAATAAGTATTTATTTGACATTATGATCGTTCTGAGATTTCCTTTTTCGCATAAATTCTTCATTTCTGAGATGGTCATTCAATTCTCATTGCAAGATGGTCATTCAAATTCTTCATTTTTAGACATGAACAAATTAGTAGATCGTGTGTGCATCGTATCACAATCAATCTTATTTAACATCCAATAGTGGTAATAACGATGGCAGAAAAGTTAATCCTTCAAATATGTAATTTCAAATATTTAATTTGTATTGCTGTATTGTGAATTGGCAATTTCATCTAACAATATATATTATATTAATAAAGTAAATTATATGATATCGGATATTGATGTCAATTTAGAATTAAATATTATGGTTACCGTTATTGTCTAGGTAAATTAGCAAATAATTCAGATGATCAAGTCTTATTTCACAAGAAATAATCTAAAGAAAATTGTGCTCATCATAGAACCTATAAAATAATAATCATGATTGATCAACAAAATGCATGCGGTTTCACAGATTATACAATTTTTTTAATATTAATTGAAATTTCGATTTTTTTAACCGAACAAAAGATGTCAAACAGTCAAACGGTGCCACCATTTTTACTTAACTAAGCAATGAAATACTCATAAGGAAAAATGCTTGGGTCATCATTTAATGTTTGCATAAACCGTAATTTTGTACCTTTTTCAAAACCGTAAAACAATATGATAATGTTGGATAAAAATTATAAAATTTGGTATCTGTCTTTCCATACACGTGGTTAGATGACCATGGCTATTCGTTTCGTACTACTGTTAACAATGCAGTGATACCAATCGAACGAATCAATTTAGCAGGGGTAAAAACTTAAATGTTTCACTACGTTTCGATCGAAATTATCACTCATATTAGTTTTTTAAAAGGTCGAAAATCGTCGTTCGGGCAATGATCGAAAGAATTCGGTAAAATCGTGTGACATTTAATTATTCTAAAAGATCCGTACTACTTTTATCATGAAACAAGTAAAATTATATAAACATATCAATTTAGGGAATGGCGTTTCCCCCGAGTGAACTTTTTTTTCACTTGTCTTTATTCATTTTTGAATTTTGACTAAAGAATAATTTACGTTTATTTTATTAAAAACAAACAAAAAAAATCGATATATATATATTAAAGTTGCAACGTTATAGAACTTTAGAACTCTAAATTATCGCTGCAAAGAAAAAAAATACCTGTACGTTGTATTCTGGTTCTCGAGTACGACAAGTGTTAAAAAAAGTTTTTATATAATTATATATTTTTTTCGAACAAGCAATTTTGAATTATCATATATTAAGTCATTTATTATTATTGGTGAATTTTACCCATTTCATCTTAAATCAATTATTTATTATTTAATAATAGACTTATTGAATTCAATCTTTCAAATAATTTTACGATAATAATTTAACAATGTCCAATAGTAGAGTTGACTCTGGTGCATTTTGCGAAATATGTATAAAGTGTAAAGAGAGGTTACCGGGTAATCAATGGTGTCAACAATGTGAGACTACCTCCTTTAAAAGTGCTTTTAAATCATGGACTAGTGGTAATCATGACTTGGATAAATTTATAAGAAAAACGCAATTGAAGGCTATCGATCGTGCTGATTACTTAGAGTGGATCCCTTATGGAAGGATCGAAAATATTAAATTTATCTCGTACGGCGCTTACGGTAGCGTTTCTTATGGTACTTGGTTGGATGGTCCAAGATGGAATTGGAATGATGATTCGAAATCTTGGGAAAGAACTGGTCCAAAAGAAGTTGCGCTTAAAACAATTAATAATTCTCAAAATATTTCTCCAAATTTCTTTAACGAGGCTAGTATATATTATTATTAATGACTTAAATTATTTCTTTAATTCGTTTCAAGTATTCATATTTTATTTATTTTTATTTTTTTTTTAAAAAAAAATATTAGTTGAAACCATTTTTCAATTGTTCAATTGAAGGCAATCGACTTGTCCATTGCTACGGCATTTCTCGTGATCCTCAAACAAAAAACTATATTGCTGTTATCGAGTATGCAAATAATAGCTCGTTGATTAATTATATTTCCAAAAACTTTAAAACTCTCACTTGGGATAAAAAATTATCTATTTTAAGCGATATTATTCAAGGACTAAAAAATATTCATGAAGCAAACATCATCCACAAAGACTTACATGGCGGTAACATTTTGGTCCACTCGGGAGATAAAATTGATAGGGATTATGCCGCTATCAGTGATCTTGGGTTATGTCATTTTGTATCTAAGGGATTCAAACTTCAAAGTCCTAATGTTGTATACGGCGTGATTCCTTATGTCGCACCTGAAGTATTACAAGGAAGACCATATACAAAAGCTTCCGATATTTATAGTACAGGTGTTTTAATGTGGGTTATCTCTTCGGGCAAACAACCATTTTCCGATCGCGGTCATGATTTTCAACTTCAAATAGACATTTGCAATGGTGTTCGACCAGATATTACATCAGACACACCTCAATTTTATCAAGATTTGATGGAGAGTTGTTGGAATCAAGATCCAAAACAACGTCCAACTATTCAAACCATACAATTGGATCTTAAAGATTTTATCAAAGGTTCCGGAGGTGCTCGTAAACAGATTGAAGAAGCTGAAAAAATACGTTTGGAATTACAGTCAGGACAGTTTATCATAACAAACCCTCCAAACACCCATAAAGCATATTATACCACCAGAGAAATAAAGGTTATACATGTATCTCCTACGAAATTAAATCTTGAAATTTACAGTAAGTTAATTCTATTTTTCCATTATTAGAATTGTAATTATAACATTGATTATAACGTTATGCTAATTATAACATTAATATTTTTTTTAAACAGATTTTAAACCAAAAATTAGTAAGAAGTTGAAGTTTGGTGTGAAAAAACCTGAACAAACTCTTGCAATGTCGAAAGAAAGGATTCATTTTCAAATGGATTTTGATAACGGCAATAATAAACAAAAATTTGATCCTTTAAGTGACTTTAATCAAGTAACCCCTATTGTACCGCTACCTGATACTTTTAATAACACTAGTTTGAATCTTGAATTAACTGGTAAATAATTCTTCTGGTTTGGTTTGTGATTAAAATTATATTCACTTAATACTGACACTACATTTATTATTATTAATTTAGATTACACTAAAAAATCGAAGCAAATTAAAAAAGAAATTGCTCTTGAGAAAAGTGCATCAAAATACTATAGATCAGATTGTCGATGTTCTATCATGTGATTTCACATCCTGATAATAAATTCTCTTAATTTTTAAAAAAGCATTTATTTATTTTGTATTTTTATATATGTATGTTTAATAGTTTATATAACTTTAATTCTTTATTAATCATGTAATTAATACGGTAATATAGAGAAATTAAAGGATGTGAATATATAATACTAGAGCATTTTTCTCGGGTTTCTCTTTCTCAGCATTTTTCTGTATATGTTATTCTAAAAAAATGATTGAATATACTCTCATTTATTCCATATCGATGTTATTTAGGTATCGTGTAATCATGCGTTTTTTTGATATTAAAATAATAATAAATCTTATTAATAAATCTTATTAATTACAGAATCACAAATTTGTAAAAATGGTTTCAGAATTTAAACATATGGGGTCTTTTCCTTGAAAATGACCTTACGGAACTATGTAGATTTTATGAATAAAATTTAAAAATTCTAGTCATCCAGTAATCCAATTCAATAAACCTTTTTTTTTTTTGTAGAGCTTAGTGAGTTCTACAAAAAAAAAAAAAAAAGATTATTTGAATTGGATTACTGGATGGCTAGAATTTTTAATTTTTATTCATAAAATCTACATAGTCCCGTAAGGTCCAAAGACCCACATGGTTTTTCAATAATTTTAATATACATAACAGATTAACGTATTTTGCAACACAAACTTTTATATGTACCAATAATTTTTTCTTGATCGCATACAGTAATTCATTAATTAATATTGACTGCACTAGTCTAATTTATTCTATACATTGATTTTTTGATTGCATCAATAACTTAATTCGGGAAAAACGATTTGACGCTTTTAAAGAATGCACAGGGAGAACTTTAAATGTTTGAGAGTTATGGGCAATGCATTAATCTTGAAAAGTTATAAGAATTCAAATCTACAGAAAAGTGGCTTCCTTGTGCGTAATATATTGCATCGAATTTTTATTACAGTAATTCTATCTTCAAAATCATTAAATTATATAGTGTGTAATCTGCCATATAGTATATATTAATTAAAAATATTGGTATTTTTTTTTTAGCAAAATATAACAAATAATCATCTACATAGCAAAATTTCTACGTAACCAATTTTCTTTAATATAAAATGGGGAATAAGTTTATAAATATTTATATACTGGCAGATCGGCATGTCCATATATGCCTACACCTAAAAAGTAAAATAGATTTCTGAGATCTCTCGCAGCATAGATAACACTATCCATATATATTTTATTAGAAGAGATACTTAGCATAAATAATCAAGCATAAATCAACTAACGCATAAATCGACAAATAACGCATGATTAAGTAACGCAAGTAATACGTAAATGATCAAGTAACACAAATCAGAACTTGGTTATTTGGAATTTTCATATTCCACATTTAGATTGATTCTAGCCCAATCCAAGTTCAAATTGGTTCCATATTTAGGCTTTGATTTTTATTGATTAGCAACATTGTTGCTAACTTTTTTGAGCTAAGCTATGGAAATATCAGAAATGTAGCGGTAGTGAAACTAAATGACTAAGTGTATGACTTATATAGCCACATATATGGGTGACGCCAAGAGAGGAATTCTAAAAATAGATTTCGAAGTTGCGAGGTTTTTGATCGATTCGATGATGATAACACGTGATTAAATAACGTTACGTATCATCATCGAATTGATTAAAACCCCGAACTTCGCTATGGATAGAAATCTATTTTTAGAATTCTTCTCTTGGCGTCACCCATAATGTGGATGAAAATATCAGACATGATTGGATATCGATTAAGCATATGATGTTCGCGTTATTATATCAATCTGTTATTTTAATGGTTAGAAAAGATATAGTTCTTTTAAATAGCAGTTCGTAATAAAAATCAAGGCAGAAATCTCAAACTTGTGTAGAAACTCCAAGTTAACATGTATAAAACTTTTATGTATGCATGGTATTTCAGCTGGCGATGTTACCCAACCCGAATGGGATAATTTGGGATTTCTACTTAATTTGGGTTCAGGAATTGACATTTCCAACTCAATTTGAAACACAAGCCTATGCCCATTTCTTTTTGCATATACCAAACTTTAAGGACCAATCAACTCTGCGAAACAAATATGGCGCAATTGATAGCGCAGGGGAATTATTTTCACGAATGTGGAAATAATTCTCCTGCATTACAACAATACTCGATTATGATTATTTATATTATGATTCGCGCTCTAGTCAAAATTAGGCAGCTAGTCTGAATATGAAGTTTACCAAAAATTCTATTAACAGAACATAAGAAAAATGCTAAAAAGAAATCAGACATTCAAAATTATCAAGCAACCGAAATTATATACTGAAATACTAAAAATACTCTACAGGATACATGTGATATTCTATATTAAAGTAAGTGAAATGCATCTTTCACAATAATCAAGTTCACAAAAATTATTGTGAAATGTATAAACAAGTAAAGGTATTGAATATGGGTACGTGTCATTTCACCGACAATCAATTTACCGACATCCCATTTCACCGACAATCAATTCGCCGACAAGCTTATTTCACCGACAACTATTTCACCGACAGCCCATTTCACCGACAAGGTTTTTTTTAAAGTTTCACTAACATTAACTCTAATTCCAACTGACCCTAACGAAAATGACCAGAATTACTTTGTCGGTGAGATGACTGTCGGTGAAATGACTGTCGGTGAAATAAACTTGTCGGCGAATTGACTGTCGATGAAATAGGCTGTCTTGTCGGCGAAATGAGCACCACCCATTGAATATTACGTGTATATCTACTCTAAAGCACAGTATTTGAGCTTATTACTAGTACTAGATAGTTTAGTTAATACAGTAGTGTCCTAAGACATATTAATATATTAATATATTAATATATTAAATTATCTATAAAAATATTTATGAAATGATAGCTAATATACTTTTTTAGTGGTGAAATATGGGTTAATCCTGCATTTATGACTAGCACATCCCGTAGTGAGCAGAGTGAAAGGATGTATGTTGCAGATGTTATAATTCCCTTACTTCAAGCAAGTTTAAGTGGGCTCCCTAATGGCAGTATCTGCTTGAGTACGGCAGAACGCCAAAGTCTAGCAAGCAAAGCTCAACAAAATCTTGGAATAAATGAAGAGAGAATGGGGAAGAAACCTGATGTTATGGGTTTGCTGAAACAAGATGAAAAGATTATTGAGTTAATGTATACCAAATCATCACATATTATATGTAGCAAATTAAAAAAAGCAGATGATGATGTAAGATTATAGAGGGAAATATTAGATAGTGCAAGTTTTGTAAGTGCGTTATGTAGACCAGCTGGAAATCAATTTGGTGTTGTAGGGATTCAGGTTGCAGGTACAACTATGTATCTGAATGTTCTTGTAAAGGATCTAGCTGGTATTCCTCGATACTTTCACCTGGATCATACAGATATCCTTCTATCATCAAGTAATAATATATCATGAGTCAAGTCTCTCATACATGTACTTTTAACTTTGAGAAATATTATAATCGTGAATAGGAGTCTACTAATGCAATCATTAGAACAAGCCACCTCTCATCTGCCTCGAAATGTTAACTCAAGTTCTACCATTTCCATGTCACTATATAATAATTAGAAAAGAGATGCATCGGGTTATATTGCCATATCATGTAATTTAGTATATAAAACCTATGTATTTTTATATCAATAAAAGTGACCCTGGTGGTCAATTTCACAAGCATACATTCATATTTAATTTTATATTTTTGTGTAAATGGGTGTATTAGATAATGAATTTTTTTCTTGGCAAATTTGCGGGACCGCATGGTCTCGGAAAACACATAATTTTTACTTTTGAATATTAACATACTAATACTACATTACACTAGCATGCAATCTGAAATAGATGAGACCAATTCATTGAAAATGTACATTGCCAAGCTTGAGGTCAAAAATTCTGAACTTAGAAAGAAGTTTGCTGAGATTGAAGCCAGGAATTCTAAGCTTAAGGCCAGAATTGTGAAATTGAAAGATAAGCAAACACAGAACGAATTGATAAAAAATTTGCTAGCTGTATCACATGATAAAAACTATCAACTAGTTAAGGATCAAATTCACATGATTTGATAGATCCCTTACCAGATATGATGCAACCTGCGATATAGGCACATAAAAATAGTACCACTATAGATGAATTTTGTGTGCAAACTTTTTTTTTGCACAAAACTATATCTATTATAATGTTCCATTCTGACTATAAGTATATTATTGATAGACTACCTGAAAGTCTTGTTAAGAGGGCATGTAAGAGACTCTTGCATTATTCTAAAGATCCTGTTCCATTAGAATCTATTTCTGGAAAGTCTGAACGAATTAAATCTTATTTGAGGCACACATTAGAGGTTTATAAGATTTCATTAAATAGAAAGAAACGTAAAACTATAGCTCAGGAAAAAATATTACATCCTCAAAGCTGACCAGAATGTAATATATCCCTAGCATTACCTGTTGTAAATAGTAGAGTCCAGACTGAAGAAATAGCCCATGATCATGAAGAAGAGAATAATTGTCAGGTTATGAATGAGCTTAAAGTCCTATCCCAGCATCTGGTCGATTATAATAGATAAACTTTTAAGAAATTCATGCAAGACATAGAAAGGGGATATAGAGAGTGGGTTACTGCAAATAAAAGATTACAATGTGAAGTTGAGGATCTGAAGATGCAGGTGCAGGAGGCAGAAAAAGAGCTGACATCTATGAAGTCAAATTCTTCTTATTAGTGAGAATTTGGTCCCAACCAAGACGTATTCTATATAGATGTTTGTGGGATACTGTTAAATCAAAAACAATGAATTTATATTCACATAATGCCTTATTAATAATCTTAATTACACTATGCCAGTCATTAGCATATTGATGCACGATTCTGTTAAGCTCGTCTGCAGTGCATAATCCATTAAATAGGCAGACATGTGTGAGATTTTTTCGTATTATCTTTGGGCAGTCAAAGTAACTCTAGGATACATATATTGAACTGATGTTATAGTGGCACCCCTCAACGAAATAAGGAATGATCTTCTTCTGCACTTTTTTTGGATTAGCATATACATCTTCAAATATGGCCACTGTACCTTTATCTAGAGAAAATGAATCCATCTTAGAGATTTTATCAGACTTCAAAGCTCAGAATGTAATATTTTTATAATAGGACTTTGGACTATTTGCAATTATCTGATACACCGATTCGAGATATATATATTTCGGCTCCTTAAGATTGTGGCTAATTAATAACAAATCATCATTCTTGATATAATGTGTCTCTCCTTTCTTCCTATTAAACATTCGATAAAGATTATTTCTAAGCATGAGATTGAGAACCTCATTAGTCTTTTCTGAATTAGTATGGCCTGAAATTAGTAATGTAAAAGGCCATTAAGGAACATTCGAATTGGTATTATATTTTTGGACATCTTTGATCTCATTAATATGGTATACCAGCCTTTCAACTGACTCAAGTTTTTTTATTTTCATATCAAACAAAGTATTATTAATGATATACTAAAATAATTTTTTTTAATTCTTTGTCTCTTTTAAGAATTCTTTCTTGATTAGAGTATGTTTAATATAGGATAAAAGATTAACTATATAGGGGACTTCAATAAGGCATATACCTTGTTCCTTGCATATATCTCGCTTCTTCTAATCACGCATTTTCTGTTCATCCAAATTTATCTGGTCTCTTTTATGAAATATTGAATTAAGACTATAATGTTGCTTGTCATAAAATTCGAATTCTAGTCATAATTCTTCATTATATTCATTAAGTTGCATTTTATTCAAAAAATTTAGTCTATATAATAGAAATTTCTTCCCTAACTGATTCTTAAAAATATATCGGCATTGGCATTCATTACTTCTATGGTGACAAAGAGGACACCATTCGAATTTTTTCATGATATACTTTAATGGATACTTTCATTGATGCGCATCATTTTCACAAGACCAAAGATATACATCATGATCATTTATTTGCCCGGTCTTTCCAAAACATTGACCACCATGCTTCATGGCATAATCTATGGCCTGAGCTGACTTACTAGTGGAAACATAAACATAATGAACAAATTCAGTAGGGTGGTATTTCTATATAAATTTATCTGGTGAATATTCGATTTTATCAGGTTCTTCAATTACTTAAAGTTCTTTATATTTAAAGAGTCTTTTGGGATTTCATCCTATCAAATGAGCAGTTGATTCAATAGGTTCATCCTCAAGATAATATAAGACCAGTTGTGGTAGATTCCTTCCAATAACAACTCTTTTGATCTTATAAATATGCAATGACCAGTATGGATCAGTTGCTCGATGCCTGTGATTATCTTCCAACTCACCCAGTTTCAATAGATATCTAATTGCCATACTCTTCTTTAATTTTATCTTTTCATATCTCTCAATTGCCTGCTTAGCTTTACTAGAGGGTTTCGATTCAACTTCATCCAAAGTCATAATATGAGTTGGTGACATTTTGATAAGACGAGTTTTACTATTTATGAAATTAATGTATTTCTAAAGGACTTTATTCCAGAGTCTTGAATGTTCTCCTTCAGCTAATCAACTCTCTATAGCATATTGAATCTTATATATTAGTTTTGTTAAATTTTTTTTGAATGCTTTTATCAAGGCCAAGTTCTTGAAACTATAAAGATCAATAACATATATTGTGACATTGTACTATTGCATTCCTCATGAAAATGTGTCTCAAAACAAAGCATCACCATCAGTCATTAACAATGTTGACTATGTGAGAGGATTAGAAGGATCCTCATATATTTCTTTGATTGCAATCCAGATTTCTAAACTATTTTTCGATGTTAATGAATGTCCAATCTTAAAACGTGTTGCCATATTTATGACTAGAAAGCTACAAATGAATATTCTTCTACCATCCTGATCATTGTGAGTATGGAGTAATATATTACATTGATGAACTTTATTTGGAATCTTAATCTTTGAAAAACTCGCAATAGCTTTACATGGTAATGGCTATAGAAAGATTTGATTGTTATATTAATGTTTTAACTATTTTGTAATATCTTTTAATCGAAAAAAATATCCTTCCTCCTGACATACTTTATGTAATTTTTTTGTATTAGAATAAAAACCAGGTATATTATAATATAGAAGCCTACAGACGAGAACTATCTTATCATATGGATCTATTATAATCTATGATTAGCTTATTCTTAGGCTATGATTATATGATGCTCTTTAAATCAGATTGAAAATACTATGCCTACACTTTCATGTGATCCAGCATATTCACAGCTTTTAGATATGAACCAGAAGCTTCATGATGAGCTCCAAGATGAGATTTCTATTAATAAAAGTAATAAAAGAAAAATTTGCTCTCTTGTAAAGAAGCTTGAGCAATATTATCGAACTATTTCATTACAGGATAATATTATCATAGTTCATGAAAAAGTGATAAAGAAATTTAAATCAAAAATTCTGATTTGCAAAAACAGCTTAAGATCTTACAACAAGATAAAAAATTTAAAGATAAGGTTAGGTCTATTCAAGATGGCTAAATCATAGAACTCAAAAATAAGGTTGGGAATCTTAAAGCAAGAATCAGGATTTTCATAAATAAAAAAATATCAATAAATGATTTAAATATGACAATGACTAATCTTATTGCAAATGTTAATAGAGGATTAGATTGAATTGAAAATCATATTAGGGGAGTTAGTACACCTATGCAGAATCCTGTCAATGTTATAGATAGTATCAGAGGCTCATTAAATACTATTCAGGTTACTTTACAAAATATTACAGCTGAGCATGATCAATATCAAGACTTATTAAACAATACAAATAGGTGGGTAAATGATTATAGGAATCAGTTAAATAATAGTAGAAATCAGAATTTACGGTTATAATATTTATTAGATGAATCCCAAACTCAGATTGAAAGAACTGTAAGGGAAAGAGATAATGCTCAAGAAGAACAGGACTTAGCTATTCTGGCTTATAATAATGATAAAAAAGAATCCTGCCATTGGTATTTCTCATATCAGAATAAAGATAAACATATTAGTAAATTGTTACAGGAATATTTTGCTTTCTGATTATTGATTCAGTGTAAAAATACTCAAATTGCTAAGCATAAGAAAACTGCACATAGGTGGACTTTGAAATATAATAATGACACAGAAAGATGGAGAAGAATGTATACAAATTTGCAAAATCGATATTTGAAATGGAAGGGACATTATAGGAATTTACAAAATCAGATACAGATTCAGAACCAGAATATTTTTAATTTATAACAACAAATATTAGTATTACAAAATAACCTACTACAAAATATGGCTGCCATAGAACATGTTATACAAACATTAGCACTATATCTTGCTTCTCTTCCAGCTTATGATGGGCAAGAAACACCAGATTCATATTATGTAAAACTTAGAAATATAAATGAAATCACATGGCCTATGGCTGTCACTGGCTTTGATGCTGTCACAAGAATCAATAATATGAAGAGTAAGATGGTTGGAAGATTCTATCACGTTCCTGCTTAGAATTCATATAATGGTAATAATCTAATAAACAATGAGGCAGAGTTTCTAAATTGGCTACAAGGTAAATTTCAGGAAGTGATGATTGGTACAAATCAGGCCACCCTAAAAGCTCTTATGAGCGAAAGTTTCCATCCAACAGATATATCAGAAAGTTATAGAAAAGAATTAAACTATTTGTACTGAGTATGGTCTTTGCAGATGTATTGCCATATCTTTATAATCATATACCTATTAATATGCAATTGAAAATTAAAATAACCAACTCTGCTGATTTAAATGCTTTCTTTATAAAATTAAGAAATATATGGCTAGAAGCTGGAGAACAAGTAAATATTCTGATTCAACCCTCATATCAAGCCAGTTCTTAGGGAGTTACTTCAGCTGAGATCAAAAAGTTAAATTCCAAAATAGCTTCTTTGAAGGCACAATTAGCAGAATCAATACAGGTGCATTCTAAACTTGCCCAATATTTATAACTACTAGAAAATGTAGTTAATTTAAATAATGCTTCAATCTTTGATAGTTATATTAATCAAGAATTAGAAAAAAGATTAGAAATAATCAAATTAATTTAGTTAAACTCACCAAACTCATAAGAGAAGATATCATAAATACCAAATCAACTCAGTGTTCAGAATTCTTAGACTATAATAATGGAGGATTGGAAAAAAGGTTAAAACGAATTGAAGCCCACGTAGTCAAATTTGCTAGAAAAGATACCAGAGGTGCCAAAACACCTCAGCATCAATGCTCAGAGTCTTCACCTTTTGGAAGATTGGAAAAAAGATTAGAACAAATCGAAGCCTTAATAACTAAACTCATCAAAAAATCCAAATTCAGAAGTAGTCAACTTCATATGGCTACAGTAGATGATCAGTCTGATCCCATTTTTTTTTGATGATGATACATCAAAACCTGAGGACAATGATTATAACTCTGATAATTTGTTAGCCAGTTCAGGCTCTGAAAATTGTGATATGAATATTTACATAAGTCATAGAAAAAAAAAGTGAATTATACTGAGCAATGTGAGTATTCTGATAAATCCTTAAAGTCTAAGGTCTCTAATAAATCTGAGCTTCGTAAAGTAAAGCAAGACAATAATTCATCTTTTGCTCATAATGCCTCATCAGATAAAGATAGTCATGGTAAGCATGTGTCTTTAGAAAAAACTATTTGCAAAATCATTCAGATCGAATTTAAGAATTATCTTCCATACATAATTAAGCAGACTAAAAAGTGCATATCTGCTTTAGCTCATGATTCAAATGGAGAGAATATTTTGGATGGTTCCATAGAGATAGATTTTGTCAAAAAGAAGGAACCTACTACAAGTATTGTATCTATAAAATGCAAGATTAAGTATCTTAAAATCCCAGCTATGGTACTGGACTCCTGTGTCAAACTTCTTATTATAACACCTGATATTATCGAGCATGTAGGATATGAAATCAACAAATTCATAAAACATGATCTTAGTGGCATTGCTACTGTGCTGGTTAAATCTATTGGAGTTGTTCACAATTTACTAATAACTTTAGTTCCTGGATTTACTATATATAAAGATTTTATAGTTGTAAAATACTCTAAGCCAATGCTGATTTTTTCGAACCCTCTTCTTAAGAAATATAAATGTGCAATTGACTAGGACAAAGATGAATTAAAGATTTCTCATAATAGCAAGAATTTAATTATTCCAGTTATTATACACAAAGTCAACAACAGGCTCGAGTAAATTGCATGAACATTACTCCCAAATGTGATGAATCCTCGACCCCAGACTGTATTTCACAGGATTTAAGCAAAGATAACATATTAAAAAAAAAGTAAGTTATAAGAAGTTTAAAAAAATGTTATATAACACTTTTAAGTCTAAAAAAAATTTTAATGAATTATGTAAGAAGTTATTATTATGCTATAATGAACTAAATGAAAAATATCTTTTACATGACTAGTATCCTATTCATTTCTTCTGTGATTTTTTCATCTTTCTTATCTTCTTTCTCACAAAATGCTTCTAATTCCTCATTGCTTATACACTGGCAATCATAAATAATGCAACAAAAAAAAAATTTAGTCAGATCATATTATCTCATGCAATTCCAGGCGTATTTCTTAAATTTTTTTTATTTTATTTACAAATAGCAATATTATCATTAATAAAAAAAAAAGATTTAAAAATTTAATGATTAAAATTTTTTAAGAGCATGAGCTTTATTTCAATATATGTATTGCATTATTTTTGCTCATTTTAATAGCAACATGATTATAAAATTAAAAAATTTTTTTTTATATAAAAAAAAAAATTTTTTTTTTTCTAATAATTTTTAGCTATTACCATCTGGTGTAGCCACCCTGAGCTCTAATTACATCACAGATTCGTTCTGACATTGAATAAATTAACTTTATGCAAATTTCAACATCGATTTCCTGCTAAATGATCTGAATTTTTTCCCAGATATTTTTTTTACTTGAAATTTGACCAGGGAGATCTCTAAGCCAATGATCAACTTTATCCTACAAGTATTCAATTAGGTTTAGATTGACTGATTGGGAAGGCCAGTTAAAAAACTTTATCTTTTTCCTTGTAAGTCAATATTTGATCAAGATTGTCATATGACAAGATGCTCTATCTTGTTGAAAAACAACTTTACAGACTTCAAATCCATGATCTTTAATCATTCACATCAAATCTTCATAGAATATCTTTAGATACAGATCTATATCCAACATATCATCGATCTTACAATAGCTACCAATACCATGAGAGGTAAAACAATTCCAAATCATAATTGATCTGCTGTCATATTTCATAGTGGGCTTTACATGAAACTGATTTAATAGTTCTCTATAATACTTTCAATAGTACTGCTTACCATTCAACTCAAAAATTTGAAATCTTGATTCATCCAACCAAATTACCTTGGACCAATCTTTGATGATCTATTTTTCATATTTTTTTGCAAAAACAAGTCGCATTTTTCGATGACTATCATTCAGGTAGAGGTTTTTTTTTTTATTACCAATACTAAACCATGGTTTCGAAGTATCCGCTGAATAGTAGACACCAAAATTTCAATATCTTCATTTATTTTGAGGTGGGTCCTCACTTTAACAGTAGTAGAGCAGTGACAGGAAGTAATTAAATTTACTATTCTTCTTTGGGTTGGTTTATCCAATAAAGTTAGATGACTAACCCTTTCTAAATCTTCAAGTGTGTGGTTTGTTAACCACTTTTTTCTAATTCACAAGACTATGAAAAAGTTAACATGGTGAGCCTGACCTACTGCTCTTGTGGTGTACCCTTTTTGAAGAGAAAGCAATATTTGGGCTTGTTTGGTGAAAGTTGTACAGTTTTTTTTTTTTGATTTGTAAGCAATTCTAACATTACACAAGATGCAGAATCAACAATGAAACTTCCATTTTTATATGTTTTATGTGACACAACTCACGCGATCTGATCTTTGTCAAAAACAATCAAAAATAATGCAACACGTGATTTGTAATAAATTCACAATTATCTTCACATTGGTAATAGAAATGATTATTAAAATTTTGCTAACTAAAAAAGATAGTATTTGTGAATAAAATAAAAAAAAATTTAACAAATACGCCTAGAATTGCGTGAGATAATACGATCCGACTAAATTTGTTTTTTTGTTGCATTATTTATGATCGCCAGTGTATTTAAACTTTTTGAACTTATTGAAGCTAGTAGTGTCTGAATAACAGGTAACTCAGAAATACGAACGAATTTAGACTTAGTTTTTTTTCCTCCAAACTTTTTTACCTTACTTCCAGAAATAACATTACATTCCACAGGGTCTGCTTGCTGAGGCGAATCAGGTTCTTCCAAAAAACGATTTATGTCTTTAGGATCTATTTGTGGATGGACTCCTCTCCATATTTGATATACCCGTCGTGATGATATTTTGTACTTGTTATCCATGGCTTCTGATGCTCGCTTCATTGAATTTTTAGCTTTAATAATATCCTGAATATCTTCAGCTGATAGGGGGGTCGCATCTGAACACAGATACCGAAGCATTTTTTACAGATAGATATAAAAAATCTTTCGAAAAACTATCGGTATATTTTTGATATACTTTCGATATTCAATCGATTTTTGTTCAATATTATCGATATATTTTCGGTAGATTCAGTACATTCGATCCATCCGATATATTCGGTATATTCGGTGTATCCAGTACTATCAATATATTTTCAGTAGATTCCGGTCCAGAAATTTTTAGACACATTTTTTTTTATATTAGCAACTAAGCCGAAAAAAAGGCTATGACTAATGTATTGATACGGGGTACAGGGTTGGGAATGGCACTACAGGACAAGAAGGAATGCGACGAATTGTCGCTTCGAATTTGTCGACGTCGCGTAACGTCGCTCAAGGCAGGTGAGGCGGATTCGATTTGGCACTGGTCTATGGTGGCCTTGAGAATGTTACCAGGGGAGTTAAAGGAGCGTAATAGTATTTTTTTATTTAATTACTTTTATTTTATTTTGACAGTTAGCAGTTTATTAATTA